TATTAAGTTTACTTCATTAAGAAATAGAAACTGATTACATGGTAGAGAACTGTTCCAAAGATAAAAGGCACATCAGACATACAAAGGCCTACAATACAGACTACACAACACACAGCTCATGACTAGAGATCAGTACTACTATTGAACCAATTTTATTCTTTCAATTTGATATTTGAAGTCATACTTAAAAGGGTTCCTTTAACACAAAGTCTGATAAGGTTTCAGCATAGGCATCAGCCCTCTACTTAGATGGAGAGACATGATTTCATTGGTGGAACCCACCAGCACTCCACCAATGAATATGGCTGGAACAGGACCATTACACCCCAACCTCATCAGGGCTTTCTCCATTTCCCAGCCTTCGGGGTCTTGGTCCAGCTCATGAACCGTAGGGCTCACCCCAAGCTCTTGGAACAGGATCTTGACTGCATAACACATGCAGCATGTGCTCTTGCTGAATAGCACCACCCCATTCTCTGAGGCCAATCTTGTCACCTTGTCCATGTTGAAAATCCTTGTTCACTAGTCCCTTGGTTACCAGCAGATTTCACTTAAAGGCCGACGAGCGTCGGACCGAACCGTAGTGGAAGTTTGGACCTTTAGAAGGTGAAGTAGGAAAAGGAGAGAAAAGGGTTCAAAGCTTAAGGTTGTTGGAACTTAAGCTTCCGTGCTAGAGTATTTATAGAGACAAGCTCACAAGCAACAAGAAGGAAATGTATATTAGCTAGAGATTCTACTTTGGCTGAACGAGTGGGCTAAAACAAGTTTCTGCTAAATATTACTCAAAACGTATTCAAGTTTCTGATATAATCACTGATTTAACTAGACGGTTCAATAAAACACAGAGGATAATAAAGTAGCAAGATTCATGTTAACTTGATTCATCGGCCTACGTGTTTGGCCCGCTAACCATACGCATTCCCACCTTTTTGGTAGATTCTATGGAGACGAGTGCTTTATAAGTTCTATCAAAATGTAACGAAAGAAGAAGATTCTGAGCCCGGCATGTCAATTTACACTAGATCCTCGAAATCGCCTCCTTTGAATCCTTCTGCTGCGAAAAAGATTTCGAACGAGATCGCGAATGTGACGTCTTTCCGTGGCTGCAAAATTCTTACTAATGTGTCCTCCAACTTGCATGATTCTTCACACATGTGAGCGTTCATAAAGCGTCTGATCACTTCATGGCACAGGGATGCTGTTCTCAGAGATGGCAGCCATCAACATGTGCGAGTGAGCCGCCTGCGAACAACGCCAACGGTCATAAGTGCAGTGACAACGACTCTTCCTTCCTCGATGGTGGGGCAGGATTCTCCATTGTCATGCTATCTCACTGTAAAGAATAAAGTAATCGGCTTTACAGGAAGTGCTCATCCTATAAGACTATCCTTGAGGGTATGTACAGTAAAGATTACACCTTTGCAACACACGGAAATTATAAATGATGTTTTATGTCTAGAAGAAGCAGCTCTTTGTCTCACAGATAAGGCCATATAGACATAAATTTATACACAAATCATTAACTAAACATTCTAATCGATACTGTTAGTGTTATCAACCAACCAATTCGACCACTTTCAGTACTAATTAACACCTTAAAAAGAAAATGCCCTGTGAACCTGCAATATCCTTAAGAATATCATCAGCTTGATGTTGCTTTGTGCCATATTCTTTTATAGTTTAGCTTTGTACAGGAGGGAAGTTTTTAAAATATTCTTCAGTGGGAACTCCATGAACACAGTTTGAACCTAAATTTGATTTAAAGGACGCGCATTTGTGCCTGTTTCTGATACTAAAGAATCCTGCAAAGCGAAGTGCTTCGTTTACACCCATAAATCTGCTTCATTATATTATCATATACATGATAATGGAAGCATTATCCAGCCGAGCAGTAAAGTATTTTGTTTTCATCCGTCTTTTAATGTTTTCAATCATATCAAACATTTAATTTTTGTTTAATTTTAGTCTTAATTCCTAAATAAGTGCCCAAACTATCCCTTTTGTGTCAAATAAGTGCCTACGGATTTTTTGTCCGTCCAGGTGCCTAACATTACAAACGTTACCTTTTTAGGTGCTCATGTCGTCAACGCCGTTAGTTTTCTCTATTAAGTGACACGTGTCAACACCTGGTAATGTTAAAATTTTATATAAAATTTTAAAAAATAAAATTATATATTTTTAAAAAAGAAAAAAAACATAAATTTTGAAATAAACCCTGAACTTTAAAAACTTTCATTTCAACTCCTAAAGACAAGTCGATCGCCGCCCTTTACCATCGAAGAAGCTCCACCCGGCCTCCCCTCCCCCCAAAAACCATAACCCATATGAAATCGTGATCGGTTGACAATCAATAGACCACAAATCGACATTTTAAATCTCACAAACCCTAGGATGAAATCGTGATCACACGCGATTTCAACAATGAATCGGCGACAACTATGACGACATATAACTAGGATGATGTCAAGGACTACGTCGGTGATCGGAGAAGGTGCCAACGACATATTAAGGTTACGATTTAGTATTTTGGGGTTATTTTATAATGTAAGAAAAGTTAGAGTTTTTTTATAAACTTAATAATATTTTTAATATTTTTTTATAAAAAATAAATTTCAAAATTGCCAGGTGGACACTTAGCACTTAATGGAAAAAACTAACGGCATTGATGACCTAGACACCTAAAAGGGTAACTTTTTCAGATGAGTAAAAAAAACCCGTAGGCATTTATTTGGCAAAAAGGGCATAGTTTGGGCACTTATTTGGGCATTAAGGCTACATTTTAATACCCGTTAAAAATTTAACATTAAGTTTTGAAACTTTTTTTAAGATTTAAGTACTAAAACATACTCAAATTGACAGTTTAAATACTAAACACGTTAAGTTTTTAACTAAAATGAAATAAAAAACTAAACATTAAGTATGGTTTTAAAAAATTTAAAAGTTTATGTACTAAAAATATAAAATAGACCAAATTGGTAGTTCAGGGACTAAAGGCATAGTTTAGCCTAAAATTTTATGCAGTGCCTGTGGGGTAGTCTTCAATGAATTTACCTTTACAGGCTTCAAATTGTATGATGTATTGAACTAAAGAAACTGGAGTCTTAGTCCAACTCTTAAATGCCCATTTAAGCCCCATATGCACTTCTGTTACTGTTTTATTTTTCTTGTTTTAATTTTTATATTATAATCTAGTTATATATATATATATATATATATATATGAGGTGAATACAGAGTAATATATATTTAAAGATAACTTTCAATGTTATAATTCAACTATTTTTAATCTTTATATTCTTATATATTTAACTTTCATTGATCCATGTATAAAAAAACAAGGTTAAATTATGTGTTTAGTACCTAAACTATCAGTTTTGGTCTATTTTAGTATTTAAAATTTTAATTTTTTTCAAAATCATACATAAAGTTTAGTTTTTGTTTCATTTTAATACTCTATTCCAAAATTTAACGTTAAATTTTGATTTTTTTTAAAGTTTAGGTACTAAAACGGACCAAAACTGATAGTTTAGGTACTAAACGCGTTAATTTTTTAACGACGGGTACTAAAATGAAATAAAAATTAAAAGTTATGTATAGTTTCGAAAAAATTAAAAGTTTAAATACTAAAACAAATTTAAACTAATAATTTTGCTACTAAATGCGTAGTTTACCCAAAAATAAAACGGATAAAAATGGAATCAAATTCATAATTATCTTTATTTTATTGAATTGATCAAATACACTCAGATCTGCAATGCGAAACTGTTTGGTCCTTAATAATTTCATTTTATTTTTAGTCTCCGTCAATTTCCACGTCGAATCAAGGGCAGATACAATATTATATTAGGAGGACGAATTTATATTACTTAGTAGAACTCATTAAATTTGTCTTTTTTGTGTTTTAAAATTGTCCCATTTAAATTGTCCCTTTGAATAAATCGATAACTTTTACTAGACACATTTCACTTTCTATCTTTCTTTTAATTTGTCAACAAAGTAAAATTTAACTTTTTTAAGATAAAATTGTCATTTTATTATTTTTACGATACATCTTTTATACACACTGTTTCTTCTTATAACTACGTGAAAAAATCAACCATAGACGATATAAATGAGATAGGAGTAATTTTTAAAAATCAAATACGTATTATTGATATAAGCATAGAAAACATGTAAACAATATATGAATTTAAAATATTCAAGTATAACTGTTCTCGACTGCCCCTTTGATCAATCCTTGCGTTGAGCATGAAAACAAGAAATATGGAACAGTGAGCACACGTTGTATTACTTTGAGTGGTGAGAAATTAAATACCATTAATATTAGGGGTACACATGCAGTGGTTCAAGAATGTTAATCAAATCCCTGTTGCCCTGTGATTCCTGGAGCCGACTTGGCCGCATTGTTTTGTTTTGTTTTAGTGACTCGAGTACGACCATATGTAGAGACGAATTCCACCAAGTTTTTTTTTATTAAGCTAAGTTGATTATAAAGAAAAGTAGATTCTATATAGCTGTGAGATTTGTCCAAATTGGTGGTGGAATGAAAGTGTTCCAGGGAAGGGATAAATTGTCCCGTTGTTGTGACATGAGAATATATTCTGATCTAATTACATTCTTTCCAATTGAAGGAATATCTTCTTCTTCTTGCTACTGTGTACGGCCATTACGTTTGTGTTTTTTCCCAACTTGTTTTTCCACTTTCAGCTGAGAGATGGTGCAAGAAGATAGAGATGGAATAGGAAGTTCTAGGATGGAAAAAAGATGATCAGAACAGGAAGACGATATATATGAATACACGAAATCTCAATGCATCTCATGGCTCATGGCCTCATGCATGGAAGATCTTCTGGATGTGAATACGAATGTCTTTATCGGTTTAATCATCAAGGGGAATATGAAGGAAGATCTTTTGGATGATTTTATTCCTTCTCAACACTGTTCATTTGACAGTATAAATAGGTGTCCAAGGTGGTTACTTCTTCATCAAGCCTGGGCAGTTTTAAAGTTTCATACAGCTCTCAAATTAGTTACCAAAAACGCTTCTCTGCTGCATATAGCGATGGATGTGGTCGCAAGTATGGTTGCAGACAGGCCAGTGGTAATCTTCAGCGGGACCACTTGTTGCATGAGCCACACCATCAAGACTCTCATCGGTGGCTTCGGGGCTAACCCGACAGTTTACGAGCTCGACGACATTCCGAACGGACAACAAGTCGAGAAGGCACTGCAACAGATGGGGTGCAATCCCAGTGTACCAGCTGTTTTCATAGGCCAGCAGCTCATTGGAGGAGCTAACCAAGTCATGACCCTCCAACTCAGGAACCAGCTTGCCCCATTGCTCAAAAGGGCTGGAGCTATATGGATTTGAGTAACAGATTCCCATTAACTCAAATAAAGTGATAAATTAATGGTTTCATACATCTGTGTTTCCCTTCTGGGTTCTGTACGTGTCTACATGTTTTTGCGGAGAATCCTTGTACCCCATTTTTGGGATTGACCAGGGTTATATATTATGGTATTTTCATTGTACTAACGTGTCTATGCTTAAATAAAGGTGCATTTGCTTTAACCTTGGCTTGCATTGTAGTTTCACTATGACCTGGGAACACTTGGCACATAAAATATAAGCAGTACAATAAGCTTTAGAGTGAGCAGACAATGTAATGGCAGCATGAACTGATAAAAACAAGGATGACCTTTTAATGGAAGTAGGGCTGCCAATAAGTTTAGTCGAGCTCGATTCAAAAACTCTGAAATGGAATTCGACTCTACTCGAAAACTCTTGAGCCTAAACTTCTCAAGCTTAACTCGAACTCAAAATCATGAACTTAAACTCGTAAAAACTCGAAAATACTTGAAAAAAAATCTTAAACTTAACTCAATCAAAACCTCAAACTTGAACATGAACCTTAAATACATGAAAACTCTATATTGTATTGTTTTTAAAAAAATCAACACAAATGATAATATTATTAATATTTTAAAAAATAAAATCTTAATATATTATATTTTTCGAGTTACTCACGAAAAGCATTGATGATTTTTTTTATTGGAAAAATAATGTTTAAAAGCATATGATCTCACAGTACACGTTATCAAAATAAAAGCGTCCGCATTGAGACTTCACAGAATTGAAGGAATAAAGCTTCCAGTTCAAGACGATTATCCATTTTAATATTTGCAGAACAACTTTCATTTTCTCCAAGAACCGTAAAATGCCTTTTTTTTTCTGTATCTTCGTATTGGAAAATCTTCTTCATAAACAAATATTCCCCAAAATCTTATGTTTTTGCTTGGAACTATTTTTAAAAGAACATCAATAAAATCCCAGTTGCTGTGATGCCAGGAGCCGACTTCGCATTGCTGGTTATCTTTTATCGTTGTTCTTTGTTTTAGTGGCTCAAAGTACTGCAATTTGTACAGGCGAATCCACCAGATTTGACATTCCCCCACTGTCAGTTTCATCACCGTATCCGTATATATGTACTTGTTATCTTCATTGTCACTCTCTCTCTTTCATGCAAATCAAGAATATTACACGTTTGTCATGGAAATATTTTCTAGTGTGCTTTAGCTAAAGGAAAAAGGTCGATATCTTTCACATAATATTCTCTTACAGATATTATTAGCGGCATATATATCAATCCATGCAGGTGCAGAATGCATGGCAGCTCTTCATGCAAATATATACATATATATAAATGATAATATTAATTGACCCCGGCCTTTCACTTTATCTCGAGCCAGGTTTGGCTGCTGACAATATTACGTGGTGAATATCTACTGGTACGTGCTCAAATGCTATATAAATAAATATATATACACACACACACACTGTTACGACGAGAAAGTGGAGTTTTTGATGTTGTCAACAGACAAAGAAGATAAGCAGATGCACCATTACTGTGAGTGTGATTCAAATTGACGGTGGGATTGAAAGGGTTGCAAGGATAAAGTGATCATGATGGATCCAGCTGTTCTAACATGAGAATATGTTCTGACCTAATAAATTATTTAACACCAAACAACTATGAAGAGGAATATGATGATAAACATAAGTTATCTCACATCAGATACATGATCATGATGATGAGAAGATGAAATGAAGCCCGGTGAACGGGAGTCCTGAATGAGCCATTTGTGAATAAACCATGTGATAATTATTGTGGAGTATGAACACAAAGAGTTAAGAAACTTAATTACCTATAGGAGTCCCTCATCTGCACTAGTCAAACTGCAGATAAATGAGAAAAGATGTGTTAAAGAATCATTATCTAGCCATTAGCCCGCCATTTTATAAACTAAGATTCGGGTTTACATTGATGTTGTAAGCATTTCCAATAGTTGAGTGCACTGACAATGGGGTGCCATGTGAAGGCATCTTTTTCTGGCTTCTTTGTACGGTCATTACGTTTGTAGCTTTTATAGTAAGCATCTCTTTTCTCTCTATTTCCACATTTTTTCCCTTCGCTTTCTCTGTTGGCTTTCTTGATTTGGAACTTATGCGAACCATTGATTGGATAAACCCAACTTCTTTCTCCACTTCAGCAGAGAGATGCCGCAAAATGATAGATAAAGATTGAGTAAGAATAGAATATTGAAAGGCTTTGCTCTCTTTGCTTGCACATATGCATGTTAAGGATACTGCAGTCATTTGAAATAAAAATAAAAAGATCTATATATTGTCAGTGTTTAATGTAAGGAGATATGAACGTCTTTATCAATTTAATCCTCAAGGGGAATATGAAGGAAGATCTTTTCGACGATTTTATTCCTTCTCAACACTGTTCGTTTGACAGTATAAATAGGTGTCCAAGGTGGCTGGTTCTTCATCAAGCCTAAGAAGTTTTAAAGTTTCATACAGCTCTCAAATTAGTTACCAAAAACGCTTCTCTGCTGCATATAGCAATGGATTATGTGGTCGCAAGTATGGTTGTAGACAGTCCAGTGGTAATCTTCAGCCGGACCACTTGTTGCATGAGCCACACCATCAAGACTCTCATCGGTGGCTTCGGGGCGAACCTGACGGTTTATGAGATCGACGAGGTTCCCAACGGGGAACAAGTAGAGAGGGAACTGCAACAGATGGGGTGCAATCCCAGTGTACCAGCTGTTTTCATAGGCCAGCAGCTCATTGGAGGAGCTAACCAAGTCATGTCCCTCCAACTCAGGAACCAGCTTGCCCCATTGCTCAAAAGGGCTGGAGCTATATGGATTTGAAAGACAAAGCATACTTCGATTAACTCAAATAAAGTGATAACTGGTTTCGATATATCTGTGTGTCTACATATTTTTGCAGAGAGTGCTTGTACGCCATTTTTGGGGTTGACCAGAGATATATGTTAAAGTATTTTCCTTGTACTAACTTGTATTTTTACTTGCATATGCTTAAATGAAGGTATATCTGCTATTGTGTACTAGCTTGAGCATTGTAATAGGCAATACAATATGTCCAACTAAATTGATGCTTCTTGTCATCTAATCTGGCTAAAAGATCTTAGCAGTAGTGACATCAGCTCATTCAATTACTTGATTATTAGCTGCGGATATATTTGAACAATGATTAAAATGGCCTAATTAGCAGTAAATATGGAAGACTAAACAATACCAAAAGGTGTCTAATAAATATATATTTTAAGTTATATTCATAGGGGAAAATCTCATTGCAAGTCTTCATCAGGTTATAGCCCCTATGTAGATCATCAGCTAGTTCCACTGTATAGAAGACAAGAACCTAATTGATAAAAAGTGGCGAGATGATAAAATTTTGAAGTATAAAAGTTTAATTGAAGGTAAAAGGACATCAAGGACTTAATTGATTTTTTCAAAAATTCAAAAACTTCTAACCCCTTAAAACCTTTTTTTTAACATTAGGTGTCTTCCAAGAATTTTCAGTAATGTAAGTGTAAACTGATTTTCTTTGAAGAGAATTTCAGATCAGAATCCTAACCAGAAAGACTAAAGTGTAAACTATTTGGACTAAGGTTATTATAAAAGTAGGGACTAAATTATGCTAACTTAAGTGTAGTAGCTAAATCACAAACTGAGAATACTATAGGGATCAAAAACATAATTTGACCCCGGAAATATGGAGTTTTAACTTTTAAACCTGGAGATTTGCTTGTTCCTCCGCGGAGGCCGAAAAATTCACCTCCATTTTTCTCGGTCGATCTTTCGAATCGGAAAACGGTACGGACGAGATGCGGGCTTCTCTTTCTCAATTAGGCAACATATTGCCCATTCCGAAGCTCTTTCGGTACTACAAATTTCATCCTTGAGTTCCTTTTTTTTAAGGATTTTCGAATTCCCAATCTCGAAAAGATTGAATCTTTTTTGTCTCCTTTTTTCGCTGATATTTTTTTTTCCAGGCAATTGGAGCAAGAAATGGAAACCGTAATCAAGGTGTTACAACCTGGACCCCTGGGGATTATCGAGCACAAATTCTCCTCGGAAGAAATTCGCGAGGCAAACGCAACCGTTCGTAGAGCCGTCGAAAATTGGCGGAGGAATGCAATCGTAGAGCAAAGAAACGGGGTTTTGAAAGATTACATTCACAAGTAAACAATCATCATGCGGCTGTGATCTTTTCAGTACGCGATTGATAGAAGGAAGTTTGAAGAGAATGGTAAAAGTAAAAAAAAAATTGCTTGGTGTTTATCTTTTTATGTAGGCTTTGCTATCGGTTATGAATAAACTTATCCATTTTTCCTTTTGGTGGGAATTTCGTGTATATTGATGAAAGATTAACTCGAAAAAATTGAACAAAGTGGTTCCTTTTCTGTTATTGGCTTTTGCTCTTCCCAGCACAGGGAGAAAATCTTGCTATGTAGTTCATGTGTTTCTTTAACTATATTCGGCACAAATGATTGTTCATCGAAGCTCTGCTTGTTAATGACCAAAACCTGGTTTTTATCCTTGGGAAGAAATGGAATAATGTGGTTATCCGCTTTGAATTTGATCCCTCCGGGTATCTGCTATGAGCTCCTGGATTCGAAACACAGCGAGCTGCTGTTTCTGATACTTGATCGGGTGTTCGTTGTGGATGTTTTGACAGCAGAGTGTGCTGTCGGGATGAATGCTTGAATCCATGGTTATGCCATTAACGCTTGCATGTAATTCAATGCATGGGCTAGGGATGTTACATGAGGACCCTGCCATCCCAAGAAAGTTTACCAGGTAAGGAACCTGTCATGGTCTTTATCTGTTTGTGACCCGGCATCAGGGCTCGGTTGAGAAAGTACTTGTGTTCCATATTTATATTACTTTTGCCTCGTATGCAATGAGACTATTTGATGATTCACGAGGAGGGCCGTAACCTGATGGAGACCCCCGATGATAATTCTCCCGATGAATGCAACTGCTACACGGGGTTGGCGGTGAGAGCAATTCGAAGCTGTTCTCGTAGACTTAAACTACCATCTCAGGTTCCTACTTTTCATGACCATTCTGATGCAAGCTTGGCCTTTCGAAGCTACTAATTGATAGCTCCAAACATATGACAAACAGTTCATCTTGCCTGATGTTTTCCCAGATTTTAAGATTGAGATAAACTATCTGAAACAAAAGCGGTTGCAACTCCAATATAATTCATCTGTTGGATCTATATAATAACTTAAAAAGCACACTGATTCTTAAAAGATGATCGATTGAGTATTAAATTAAATTAACACCAATATTTTGAAGATTCTTAAAAGAAAAGAGTTTCAAGTGCATTTGAACTCATAATGTTAATAAGGAAATGGCATAAAGTTGTTCCTGTCTACTTGAATTCATATATAGATTCTCGCAGTCGCACATTTAAGATACACAGGTTTTGATTGAGAAATGCCCCTTCTCTCAAGACTCTTTCCAAAAATGTTAAGGCAATGATCTCACTAAACAAAGCAACCCCAGAATCCAACACTCAAGAGAAAAAATCATATATATATATATATAGCCACTATCAACCCTGCAATTAGACCACAAATACACACTACAAGCACATATAATGAACTATATCTTCATTCCGTTTATCCACACCTAGTTAACTATGATATCGAGTGACGCCTTCGCCTTTGGAACAAGAGCCGAGATTCTGCATTTGGTTTACCCCCTAAAGGCTTCAGATTGTTGATCCTGAATAAAGAGTTGAGCTTGCTTAATTTCTTGGTGAATGATTTAAATATCTTGTTAGCAGGCTGAGACCTGACCAACTCTTGTTTCATTGACACATGATCCTTTTCAAGGTCTGTTAGCCTCATTCTCATCCTTGCAACTTCGAGTTTCAGCTCTCGGTTCTCTCTTCTAACCGATGCGTAGTTGTCTCTCGGCGAGATGACTCCACTCCCTGCACCGCTGCTCGAACGTTGAGGGAAGTGTCCATTGATTGCACCGAAAAAGAGCTGATTGTGTCCTCCGTTCATTGCGTTCCGAAGCCTGATTTGCTCGAAATATAGCACTTGGACTGTCATTTGCACCGGTAACCTTTCATTCTGAGCTGCATGACTACAAGCTTCTTGAGATAATTTCTGACAATCTATTGTTTTGCAGAGTCTGTATCGTTCAGAATCCTTTATGTTCGGATGAACCTGTAGAAAGCAAAACAGAAAACGGTTTGCCTAAAGATGACTTAGCTACGAGACTATTTTTTAGTGTTTTCTTGTGGAACCCTCACCTTGAGGAAGATATCGACAGCTCTGTATAATCCGTCGCTAAGGATGCGAGCATGGTCGGGAAGTAATTCTGCTAGTGCTATGAATTTTGATGGCAGTAAATTCGTGTCCAGTGCAACTTCTGCAATATAAGTGTCCAGTAACTTCGATACTTTGAGGATTGAACTTTGTTTGGGAGATCCCGGGCTGTCGAAATCATATGCCATTTCGTTTTCATCTCTCATGAGATTATCCTCATCGTCATCCTCATCCAAGTTCAAAAATATGGAGAAGATCCTTAAAATTAACTCTGTATCATACAAGGTTGTATGATTGTTTCCATATGAATTGGCTGGTATTAGGATATCTTCAAGAATTGCCTGGTCTAGTTGCAGGCCTATCCTTCTCTCGAGATCCGATCTGCAAGAGGTGGATGCCCATGAGGAAATTGCAGTTTTCAGTAAGCTGGAGAGGAAAGCCATGGGAACCAAACTCTTCCTTGATTGAGTCGGCAATAAGCTAACCATGGCTTCAACAATTACCCTTTGTTTCTTTTGCAACTCCAAGTCCAACAGGCTTCCCCTTACCAAGTGATGATCCCTGACGACCAGACCTTGAAGAGAATTATGGGTGTAATTTATCAAAATATTGCTGATCATGTCCTGTTTTAGACCCTTCGACTTCACGGCCGTTAAAACTCGTTGGAAGAAATCAAGATTAAGAACCGCCAGAGACTTTCCCCACCAGTCAGATGGTGTTTCTGGTTCGGTGTTCGATATAGCTTTTGATGGGAAGTTGTGATCAAGTTTCAATAAGCCTGAAGTGAGCTGCTCTTTGCATGCATTATTGGCAATTGCATTGATAAGCCTATTAACCAGGTTGATCTCTTCAGATACAGGCAAGAGGTTTTCGCAACGGTGAAGAACAGATATCGAGCTCGATATGTTTGGGAGTACCATGTCTTTCAGATACCTTTCTGTCCGAGCTTCCAGATTCTTCTCCGCAAACTCTTCTGTCATCTCCAGGAAATGCGATGCACATCTTAACATGGCGACATTCGACAACGTAATCTCGATATTTATTCCATAGCAGAACTTTGCCGCTAGCTCAAATGCTTCTGGTCCACCAGGAATAGAAGAGAGATTCATAATTGAAATCATTGCATCCTTCACTTTGGTCAACAACTTACGGATTCTTCCACTCCGAGAGACAAGAGGGAACTGAAAAGAAAATTTACAACCACATGACTAAAGCTTCCATCACAATGGTGCAACAATTTCTGGGTCACAAGGTAAACATCTTTCAAATACCATATATGCAAACATCAGAATTACATATTGGTTGCTAAGGAAATGCCAAAACAGTTTCAGCTTTACCTTGTGAAGTGCAAAGCTTGAAGGTCCTACTTCAATGGTGAGATCACTAGAAACATCAGAAATAGGCCTGCATGATTGATAACTAGGTTAAAAGGAGGCTGCAAAGAGACAAAAACTACAAAATTAAAAACAAAAATGGGGGAGAAAGATGAATGAAATTCTACATGCTTGTTAGTGTAAATAGTTTAGACACCATATTGTTGCTTGAAATCATAAATTCCTCACTGCTTCAGTCAATTGCAATTGTTTCATTGAACATCTCAGTCAATGGAAAAAGAAAAACATGGAGGACCCCAGATGGGGAAACTGACAATAACTCAATAATTATAGCACGAGTGGTGTTGCTTAAACATCACTGCATTCAATAGCCAATAAGGATCATGTTTGCCTATCAAAAGGTTAAAAAAAATCTAGATGCATACACAGCAGAACTGGTTTTAGTTTGGAAGTGGAAAAAACAATTGTATTATTTTACATTCATGGATATGAATTGCTGGGAACCAAAAGGGACCCTTAATTTGATAACTGTGTGTGTTTTTGTTGCATTCTAAGAGAATATAGAAACTGATGGTAGGGTAGCTTATGAGAAAATAGCAGGTTGTATTATTGATATTTTAGGATAAGAACACATCATCACATCCGGAAACCGAGCCTCGTGGTGCCGTCACTTCAGACGGAAAACTTCCGAGGTCAAGATCTTAGCAAAAAGGGGTTAACCTGTCAAATTCTACATGACTGTATTCAGTCGGCCAGTGGTTTACTTGAGGTAGGGCTTAGATGAGCTGAAGCCATTGATATAAGAAAAGGCTGAAATCCATATACTTCTCTGATAACAGTTATTGGAAAAATTATTGCACAAAGAAGATTGCACTCTTTGCATAAATTATGAACCTAGGAAATAATACATAGCAATATACATACTCTTGTTGTGTCAGAAATGAAGAATGAAGTTGGAAAACATCACTTTCCAAAATTAAATAAAATATCTAAATCAATTCACTGTTTTGGGAAGTGAAACACAATGGTTCAAACTACTGAAAATAACCTTAAAAATCACTCTGCAACAAAGCTAGATTTCCCATAAACAACAGCAACAAAGAAGAAGAAGAAGAAAGTTATTACCATTCAGTGGCATGCCTTGGACTTGGACGGAAAGATCTCTTCCCTGATATAGTAGGTTTCACTTCACCAAGAGCAATAACACCCATCTTCTCAAAAACCTGGAAATTCTCGGATTTTAGCCCTATGAAATTTACGAACCACAAGCAGCCACTAACAAGTTAGCAATACTCCTTGGTTTCTGTTGCTGACAGGTTGTTGTTTAAGGACACCAAATCTCTCCTTTTCTTCTCGTAATGATCTATATTATGAAGGAGAAAGGCTGGACTCTGGGGTGAGGTGGACCAAGAATTCATGCAGGATTAAAGGGTGGTGATGGCTTTAAAATATACTTTTTAACGAGTGTCATGTACACAATGTGCTTTAATCTAAAGTCATTAACTATTTGATTGTTTGTACTTTTTAGCGAAAGCCGGTGGGAGATGACCTTGTTGACATGGTTTTTATTTATGAAGTAAAAAAAAATATTGCGGGAATCCTATAGGGTTGCACTGCTTGTTCGGGATTAATCATAGCTAGTGAAAGCCACCCATATAAAATGTTAGCTTAATTAACTCTTATATTATGTGTAAAGTCTTACTAAAGTAGGGTATTAAGAGGATGAGTTGGATCACATGTAATAATTAGTACCTCTCCTCTGTCCATATTACATCCCTCAAAACTACTTATCGCAGATAAATATGCGTGTATCTATATATAGCCTATTTTAGGTCCTAGCTAGTAGCCAAAGCCAGCAATTATGGTCATTTCTTTGTCACAATCACTAGGACATTACCTTAACAGGCTACAGTTTCCTTACACAAACTTTGGTGCTACCACACTGTGTATATGATTAAATATGAAGCTTTTAACAGCTAGTTAAGGGGGGAATTGTTTACAGATTCAACCATTCTAACTACAAAAATATCCATCTTGATGTGAATAGTTTTGGTTTCATTGTGAAGCTTCATTTAACCTAAACAAGTGTATATATGTACTCTTGGAACGGCTAACTGCTGGATTAATTATAACCAAAGATTGCATGGATCAAGTGGTAATAATATCCAATCAATTCTTGCTTTTTCCCTTTTGTATGTATGGCTAGAGTAAGTGGTAGCATTTAATTAGCTTCAAAGTTTGTCTCATAAAATCCTAGCCCTGGTTATATCTAGATGAGAAAATTATTCGGATATTATTTTTGTATATATAATATTCATACTAAGAATTTTATTTCAAGGAACATCGAACTCTTTATTACTTGACTCAATAGACGATGACAACGAAATGTCATTTTTTTCTTTCTTGGTTAGATTTGATAACAACATTATGTTGTCCTCCTCTGTGTTATGTGTATGAATACTCGAATCCAATTAGGACTATTGTCTCTTTTTTTGGGAGGGTGGGGATTTAAGGTTTGATTTTCATTTAATTGTTTATATTCTCTCTTAGGTAGGCACATCATGAGCAACTTATAGGTCTCTTGTGACAAAAGACATCTTAACTTTTTACTTTTCTTTCTTTTGAAATCCCATTTCTTTAGAGCACACCTTTAGATTTTTAAATGTTTGAACCAGGCATTATGACATTGAGCACCTACGCCAGAAAAAAAGAAAAGAAAAAGCAGCTTAACAGATTGGTTTTAGTATGTTCACCTGTATTAAAAGTTCAACATATCCATATCGAACATATACGAGTTGATCTTCGGTGTTCGATTCGAAATGAGAAATCCCAATTTCAGGTTCGATTTCTTTCGGAATGTCCCATTAAACCTGTATCAGCCAAGAACATGGGAGAACAGAGCCCAGAGCTGGACATCGATACCAAAAGCCAAAAGGCAATTTTCTTTTGCCCCTCTCTTTTCATTTTCTTTTCAAGTAAAACACAGATGAAGAGGGGGAAAGCAGTTTTGAATCATTAGTACAGCAGGTGGACAAGCAAAGCAAAGTTGGTGGCTACAATTATAGTAACAGAGAACATGTGAGCCCACACTATGATATCATCATGGTAACTTGCTGCAAATAGAAAAGTTGTTGATCGTGTGGGGGTGTGTGTATATGCTTACTTATGATCTTACTATAATTATTTACGAAGCTGAAGATTTTTTAACCTGTTTTGCACTTACTGGTCTTTGCCACGCTCGACCCAAAGGGTTACTTTCAAATCATTGAACCATCGATTGTCTACGTGTCTTCTTGCACGTGGGTTTGTTCATTAAGAACTGCTCTTCGGCCCTGTTTCTTCACATCCTCACCCACTTTGAAGCCATTTTCATGTAAAGAGTAACAAATAGTTTGATGTCAAATTTTAGTTAACACGGTTTCGAGTTCGATTCCCGACGTTGCTATCCTCTTGTCCGAAGCTTTGACTGTCCAAAGGAGGTTGCACTGCATGTATATATTTTGTAAAAGCTATGCATTTTTGGTCTAGGTTTTTTGAAAATACCAGCAGTAATTATGGCTTTCAAGGGAAAATATACTGTTGCTTTCATGCAAGTAAAACATGGGAGTTTATGGCCATTTGGCCATAAGTTCAAGCAAAGCAGGAAACATGGCTTTGTCATCAGAACAGATAAACACTTAGTGATGGTTGCGCATGCTCGTAAGTTCTATACAAAGAATGTAAAGTGCGCCCTCTATCCATTGAATCCGGTGAAATCCAATGATTAACTATTTAACTTTCCTATTTGATTTATGTAATTGTCCCGTTTAGCACTTGGAAAGTACTTTTTTTGTTCAAATTATTTTAGTTTTAGTATCTAAACTTTCAATTTTTTCAAAATCATATCTAACGTTCAGTTTTCATTTCATTTTATTACACCACCATTAATCATTTTAGTATGCCGCCATTAAAAACTTAACGCATTTAGTATATAAACTATTAATTTTAATCCATTTTAATACCTAAACTTTCTATATTTTTCAAAACTTAACGTTAATTTTGAACAGTGGTACTAAAATGAAAAAAACTAAAGTTTTTAACGACGGATACTAAATTGAAACAAAAATTAAACTTTAAGTATGGTTTTGAAGAAAAAAATTAAAAGTTTAATTACTAAAACATACTAAAATTAATACTTTAAGTACTAAACACATAATTTATCCAATTATTTTTATATCCATTATTTTCTGAAGAAAAAAGAAAGTTAAAAAATATATTTTTCAAAAATTAAAAAAAATCAATTTTTGTATTTAAAAAATATTTTTATTTTATAATTTAGTATCGTATATTTTCTATCATTAATAAATAAACTTTTGAACTTTTTATAAAAATCAATTAAACCCTCAAATTCAATTAAAAATCAATTAAATTCCCTATTACATCATCATCCGCACATGCATTATCAAATCAATACCATCAACCTTCACACCTATAATGATTTCATCAATCAAAAGATCATATTAACAAAGAGTTTAAGACTAAACTAGTACACTTAAAAAAACGAGATACCGCATTACTAATTTAAGACCACAAGAAGGGCAAAATTACCCCTTAAATCATTTTCATAAATAAGTTGACCCCTCATAAACAGTACTGTCCTTGAGTCAAACATAAATAGCAATAAAGTGTCTCCATCAAAGCTTTTCCCCACCTACACCCTCGAACAAAAGCAGAGGAATACCGACACCTTTTTACCCTTTCGATATGAAAAAAATACAACCAGGGGAAAGGGGCACTGAGAACAATCCAGGTCATGCGTTTATTGCAAAATGATGTACGTAAAACATCAAACTCAAAGGATAGTCACAGGCTAACCTTATATAGGGGCTTTATGTTGTGATTATTTGGAAGGGATACTACTTCATAGTCTGCTACAACAGCTTATTGCAGATAATATTGATGGTAATAAAAAAGACAACGCTACGCATAAGTACAGTCAGTTCCACTCTGAGGTAATGCAGATTGGTTGATAAGCCCTGCTGCACCTGGTAAATGTAACTTTGCACAGTTTGACTATAATGTACCCAGATCTATTAACAGGAAGAAGAAGAAGAAGAAGGGGAAAAAACCCTCAGACCATATCTGTCAGATAATGAAGAATGGCTCTAGCATTTTACATCAATTTGTGTGACGAACCTCACCGCCCTGTCTTGTGCTTCTGCTATTGCTTAGAGGAACAGAACTCTGATTTGAAAGCTGGAAATCGGAAAGGGGAACGGAACCTGTATGCGGAAAAAAAAGCCCAGCCGAACTACTAGATGTGCCAGCAGCAGAAGGAATTCTGGTCAAATAAGAATCCTTCTTAGGCCCTGGAATAAGCTCCGGATGTAAATCAGAAGAAGACGAAGCAGGTGCCAATGTAGCCAGTAAAGACCCAACTTGATAAGGAGCAACCGGCATATCAATTAGAGATGATGCTGATGGACTAAATCTTATTGTTCCCACAGGGTGATCGAATTTACATGTGGACCCAAACTTGCAGTGCCCATTCTGCAAGTAGAATGAACAAGGCTGCACACCCTGTTTACAAGAAAGAATCAAATCACACCAAGTTTTAAAAACTCAAGTTATTAGGATAGACACTGCATCTCAACATCACAGAACTGTGAAAGTAATTAATTATAATATCCAATGAAAACCTATAATCCTCACACATCCTCCTCAAAGAATACTTCTATTTATCCAAAATTAATTATGAAACTTTGACGAATCTAAGTCATCTAGTAAGCAATAATTAGATTCCTGAGTTCTAAAGGCCAGCAAAAAACCCTTCAACAGTATATTATTTGCAGGTGTAAACAATAAAACTGTTAAACGTGTATGAAGAAATCTCAAATCTATTAATGATGACCATTATTGAACCATTCTCAAACTCACACTTGAGCATTGATTAAAAGTGGAATCAAAGGTAAAAAGGCTGTCACTTCCTTTCTTTCCCATCTAAAGAACAAAACTTTGAACTCCATGGTAGATAAATTTAAAAACAGAATCTCAGACCCGCTCAAAGCCAATTCCAGAGGTATTTACAATATATTAATCTAACCAAACTTGCTTTAATAAAGCAAGATTTTGAAGTCAATATCCCTATAAAAGCAAAGTCTAAGTGACAGCATTCTAACAAAATGTCATATTGAGCATAAAACACAAGATAAAGAGATTAAGAGTGTTCACATACCGGACGTAAAGGAAATCCCATTGGATTGAGGGCACAATTTGTTCGTGGCAGAACCCTGTCTTTGGGATGATGATACCTACAAGAGGATCCAAATTTACAATCACCAGTTCTCAAATAGTACTGGCATTCAGGTTCACCGGGTCTCTCTGGGAATGTTTGTTCCTTCTGGTTACTGCTTGAAGGATCAGTAAAAGAGGACAAGGAAGAATA